TGATTAGGTGGATGAGTGGCTTTACACTTAAGAGACAAAATGCGAAATGAATATATTCGTGATAGGGTTAGTGTAGCTCCAGTGACGGACAAAATTAGAGAAAGTCGTCTTAGATGGTTTGGTCACATTAAACGTCGACCATCTGATGATCCGATTAGGAGAGTAGATGTTTTAGATTCGACTTATGTTAAGGAAGGCAAAAGTAGACGTAGGAAGACTTGGGCTTATTGTATAAAATATGACCTTAATTTATTAGAACTAAATGAAAATATGACACTAAATAGGACACAATGGAGAAAAAAGATTCATGTAGCCGACCCCACGTAGTGGGATTAAGGCTTGTTGTTGTTGTTGTTGTTGGGTCAATGATCATAGGTGACCGGAATATTTCCATTCTGATTATTACAATTTTTGGGAATGCTCTTTTTAATAATTTCAAATTTTTTTTTCAGTCAGTTTCATGCCAATTTGTCATATAAATTGAAAGGACTATAACGATTTCATGTTGACATGGTTGATGTAAATTATATGACAAATATATTGTTATGTGGAGTGCAGTTTTGGTCCAGCAATGGAGTTCCAACAAGAAGTTATAAATAGATGGGAAGCACAGGGGCCTGATGCTAAAAATGAGTTGAGAGAAGCGTGCCGGCTTCTTCAACAGCTGAAGAAGAAGGCTGAGGGTTCACCTTCAGCTGTATTTCCCGCTAATTGCTTGCCACAACACCTACAAAAGTGACCTTGTTAGTTCCGCGCAACAAATCTTGACTTGAGAGGTATGATCCAATATTACATCGTACAATATTGTTGTTTATTTACTCGTAATCCCGCACTGCTCGATTTTTTTCATTTTTGTTAAACAGATCGAAATTAATCTTTGAGATATTAGTTACGCCACTTCTTTTTTTCATGTTTTAAAGTGTTTTTTAATGGATAGTGCTCTTAGATAGCTTTTATTGTGGCATCATGTTAATTTGTTATGTGGGGTATACACTATACATAAAATAAACATCATGTCAGGCAAAACAGAAAAAAAGAAAGGAAAATGGAAATTTGATAGAATATAATGCTTACTAGTTCATTTGACACCATGAATTATGGAATCACCAAAAATTCAAACACACATCATTTACTTGATAGTTAAAAGAAAGGAAAATGGAAATTTGATAGAATATAATTTCTACTAGTTCATTTGACAGCATGAATTATGGAATCACCAAAAATTCAAACATACATCATTTACTTGATAGTTAGCTCAAGTCCAAGTTGACTCGCTCAAATTTTGATTTGAGTTAAATTTGATATTTATCTTTTTGGATATATTGTATATTGATTATCTATCATATGTTTTGTTAATTATTTGTTTGATGGTTATGGGGGGTCATATCTTTGCGCATCTTTGATATTGTTTCTTTAATATTGTCCTAAATTTGCTTCCAATCGTTTCTCCTAAAACCCACCTTCTTTGTTTCACACCATGATCAGGAATTACTTCTCATGACTCTGAAGCATCCTGACACGAATGAGGAGCAAGAGATCTTCATCCGTGAGGATTTGTTGAGTCTGTGGCTAATGCTGCCACCCATAATCACTGCTTGTCGCTGTCGTTGCATCTGCTGCCGTCTCTGGTCGCCGCCGCCGTCGCTCATCTCCATTGCCCAATTTCCTGTGCTTTCAGGCTTTACATTAATTTCATTTTTTTTTCAAACTATATATAAATATAGATATATATGTATATAAAATTCTTGCATTTATTTTACATCTAGCAAAAATTCTCAAAAATATTTCAAATGCATAATGTTTTACTTGTGTTACATTCTGTTTGCTGTGCATTCATTTTTCATCCAATCAGAGGTTCCCTTTAACTCTTGCACATATTCATATTTAATGATGGACATTTTAAACACTTTTTAAAACATTCACATGATTTCCTAGCTTGACAGAAGTTTTAGGGCCTGTTTGGTGCGGCTGCAGTTTAGCTTAGTAAAAAGCAGCTGAAATATAATCTGAGATTCAAAAAGATGCAGTGACAATTTCAAGTTTTTTTTTTTTTTTTTTGAAAAGTCAGAGAGCATCTAGAAAGCTGTCATCACATCTAGCCGGAAACGGTGAGAAAACGTAGATTTCAGCGGTAACTTTTTGCTGTCATCACACCTAGCCGGAAACGGTGAGAAAACATAGATTTCAGCGGTAACTTTTCGGAAAAGCTGTCAAAATACAGTTTACCAAAACAAACGAAACTGCGGTACGGTGCCGCATCGCCACCGCACCGCCTCCCCAAACAGACTCCTAATTTGCTTAGGATTAACTCATTCAACTTGACATGATAACATGAATCATAAATCTATTCTGCGTCGAGCTAGAGTTTAAATTTTGAGTCCAAATTCAAAGTCAATTCAGTCAAAGCTTTGTTCTTTGCAATCCCTGATTGTGCTGAAGGATGAGTTTTAAGTTTGGACTTGGTATAAAGTTGGGCGTTGCCATAAATCCTTGGCTGACAAAATATTTTGATTTCATAATCATCACAATACTATATGCCTTTTGGCTTGTGCTATTTATGATAGATGCTCTTATGAATACAAAAAGATCAATATAACATAATTATGAAATATTTACACACAAGACACTCAATTCCTATGTATTTTAAATATTGAACATCTAAACTTCAATTTTTACATACATACCATCTTAACTATAGTGATATTTTTTTTATGTGAACGATTTTGATGGTATAAATAGAAAAAAAGTAAAGTTTAGATATTTTATATGTAAATACATATATATGTAATTGCCTCGCTCTTATATCCCCCTTTTTTTTGAATGAAGTCTTAATGTGAAGTAAAGTAAAAAAAGTATTAGGTCAGGACTCCGGATGCACCCGAAGTTCAATAGTGGGGCACCACGTGTCAAGTGGGTTCCATATATTTTAACATCGATCAATCCCAGTGTATTGCGGTTGGCCCACTTGACATATGACGCCCCATCATTGGACTCCAGACGCAAATTGAGTCCGGAGTCCGGATATAATATTTACTCGAAGTAAAGTGGGACTTATCACTATTAAATAGCATGATGGAAGGATAAGGAAGGATTCTATGTTCTTTAAATGGGGCTCTCCACACAATTCCTTTCAATGTGATTATTAAATTTAAATGGGCCCAAAGTCATAGTAAAACCCGACCATCTCATGTCTATTTCATACCTAAATTTATTACACCTAAGCTAAGCTCTCCTTTAAATTTATATTTATATATTACATCTCATGTCTTTTATAATAGTAAGTAAATTCATAGAGATAATAATAGATGTGGAGTTGTTGTAGGGAGGGTTAGTTTGTAATATAAAATAGATTTATCAATTTATTTTTTATAAACAGGCAGTCATTTCATAGAGATGGTGATATATGTGGAGTTGTTGTAATTTGTTTTTTGCAATAGGTTTACACTATCAACCATAATCTTACATCCATCATTATCTCTATGAAATAACTTACTATTTATCATAAGATTGATTGATAGAATTAGGTTTTTTATTGTAATGATAGGTGCCAAACTCTCATAATTTCAATTATTTATTTATTTTTATTGGAGCATTTACATATATACCGCATTTTTTATGTATATGCATAAGTAGACTTTTATATTTTTGTTTATAAAACTTACTAAGTTTGTAACACCGAAGTATAAAATAGATGCATGATATAGTGATTCAGGGAGTTGGTTTCTCATTCTGAGGTGGCAGGTTCGAATCATGCATGTTGTTATTTAAGCTAACATTTTCTTTGTTAAAAAATCATGCATTTATTTTATTTTTTAATATAAAAAAGTGAAATTATTATTATTATTATTTTTTTATTTTTTGGGCTTGAGCATGTTTATCATAGTTTCAAATGAGAGAAAGTACACCCTGAATTAAGCATGGGAGATATATACTGCTAGGGTTGTAATTGAGCCAGAGTTGTGTCAAGTATATCATAGTTTGGACTTGGTTTGGTATAATTATGGGTTGTTTAATGTTTGGCTTGAGCTTGTGTCAACCATTCATATATTGTTAGAGCTTGAATTGTTAAAGTTTTTCAATGTTTGGATTTGATTCGTTTATGACTATTGAATTAGTATTTAAATGAGCTAATGAACGAGCTAAAAATTCAAATGCATATCTAAATTTTCATACAAATAATTTAATAAATAAGTTTACAAATTTGATCATAGCTATTAATTTATTGATTTTAAACTCTAAATCTTAAAGTATCTTAAATCTTGTTTCTCCTTCAGTTTGCCTTAAATCCACCGCTTAAGAGATATTTAGTAGAATGATTTGTGTAGCATTTAAACATGATTTAACTTAAATCATACCAAACATCTAAAAATAACAATTTTAAAACCTATAGAAACTTAAATATCAAGTATTTATATATCATATATGATACGAGCTATGATTGAGCTATTGATATGTCATCAACAATTTTTCATTGTCATGCACATAGCTTGAGGCATAGCACAAATCTCGAAGCAATTGTTGAGCAAAGAATGTTCAAACTTCAATTAAGAATCAACCAATGCTCCGATTTTAATAAATATACATTCAAACTAACCGGCTTGATGGGATGGACCCAATGATATCAAATTTGGTCAAATCTAAATCAAACCAAACTCATATCAAGCCATTAAACCGTTTTTAGAAGTTTTTCTGACATATTTGTAAGGTCAAATGAATGTCGAATCTGATGAATTATAGTCCAATCGAGCGTTTCGACAAGCGGAATCCAACGAGCTGAAGATCGCTCAATCTTAACATCATTAAGGTGCTCAAATATTCATTAAACATCGTCTGATTGATAGATACCCTCTGAGACATGTGATTAACGTTGTTAATATGATTGCACTAATTGTACCCAGAACTCTATAAATAGAGTCCCACCTATCTCATGAGGGGGCATAAGTGGTTGAGGCCTGAGTAAGAGCTTGAGCTTTGAGAAGTAGTTGAAGTCCAACATCACTCCTGCCACCGTCGACCACCGTGAACCACCGTCGATTACCATCTACCAACCGTCGTCGATCGCTATTGGTCACCACATATTCCTGACAACGAATTTTTCACACATCAACGTTATAACTTGAGAGATCTTTTAACTATTTCCCGCCTGTGAAAGAAGATGTTGCAACTATAATCAATATTTTATAGTGGAGCTATTCAGCTGTGCTTGATCCCGTAATTTTTCTTTTTACGAGTTTTTCAGATAAAAACTTCTGGTGTCACTACTAGTTGTTTTCTCTCTTCTTAACGTGTGTTGAATATTTCTACCACGCTAAGACAATAATTTATAACTCCACCGCCGTGAATTTTTTAGCACGCATTAATCGAGATATAAAAAAACAAGTTAATATTCTAGTTAAATAAATTTTATTTAAATAATATATCATATATGATACGAGTTATCATCGAGCTTAATATCGAGTATTTAACAAGTTACCCGTTGAACAAAAACGAGTTTGTTCCTGAACATAAATGAACAACATTTATTATATTCATGTTTAGTTCATTTAGCCTTCGAGCTTTTAAAAATTCTTCAAGCTTATTTATTTCCTAATTGAACGAGCATGTTGAAGTCTTAATGGAGCCGAGTTCGAGCTTTACATCAAGTGCATTGGTTCATTTACAGCTCAAATGCAAGTGCCTTTTTTTACATATATGTCTTGTCTACAAATGAAAAGTTTGTCTCACTTTTAAACAGTTAAAATAGTAGTATTTTTTATGTAAAATGAAATATTTCGCTTGTCTACAAATGAAAAGTTTGTCTCACTTTTAAATAGTTAAAATAGTAGTATTTTTTACGCAAAATGAAATATTTCGGTGGTATAAATATAAAAACCAAACTTTAGGTGTTAGATATCTAAATTCTATGTAAATGCCCCTATATATTTAAATTCACGGCCAAGTTATAGTACAAATAACCCCGGCTCAACATGGAGGATCAGGACCCACCGGTCCAGCACCCTCCACTTTCCGGCGAAGATCCAGCCCGTTTCCGTGGCGTCCGGCGTAGC